TTTTTTTTTTTTTTTTTTTTTTTTGAATCCGAGCTGCAGGTATGCTCCAACCCCAATCCCCCCACCCCGAAACCAAAGTTTCTCAGCGGATTTGGGCTGTACTAAGCAAGCGCAGTACAGACCCGAAGTCGGAACAAAAAGAAAATCAGAGGAAGACGGTTTTCTGAGCCGTCGGCTACCGCCGACCGGTCGGCCCCGATCGGTCGGTACAATACGGTCGGCGGTCGGCCCGACCAGTCGGCGGGGATGCAACCCTGCCGGTAAGCAAATTCTGAAGTACCTGGTCCAGCAGTTGACTGATTCTCAGGAAGGAGAAAATCTAAGGGTAGTCTAGGCTTGAAACTCAATAGCAAACAGTTTGGGCTCACCCCGGTGGCGCTGTGTACAGCATTGTTGTACAGACTGGCGATGAGAGCAAGCTTCTCATCCCAGTCCACCTGGTTAGGCTTGATGTAATGCCTCAACAGGTGTTGTACAGCGCGATTCAGTTGCTCGGCCTGACCGTTGGCCTCTGGGTGATTCCCAGAAGTCATCTGCAACTGGGTTCCCTGCTCTGCAGCAGCGGCCTTCCACAATTCGCTGGTAAATCGGACATCCCTGTCACTGATAATAGACTTCGGTACCAAAGTCCCTGACCCAATTTTCTTTGAACATTCTGATCACATACTCCGTCCTTGCTGTTTCCGGCATTGCTACTAACCTAGCATACTTACTAAATATATCCACGATGACGAAGATGTGTCGCATCCCACTCTTGCTGGTGACCAGAGTACCCATGAAGTCCATGGACAGACTCTCACCAGGCCGTCCCGGAATCGGAAGGGGCTTCAATAGCCCAAGAGGAGCCTGAGTACGTGGCTTGTCCCTTTGACAGACCTGACAAGTGTCCACGTACAGCTGGGCATCTCGCATCATCGTGGGCCACCAGAACCGCTACAGCAGATTGGCTGCGGTCTTCTTATACCCAAAATGGTCGGTGGCATCATGGCACTCACCTAAAAACAAACTACGCAAAGACTCTCTATTTGGGACGCACAATCGTTTATTCCTTGCCTTTTCAAGGAACAGCAAGCCGTTGACCAATTCAAACTCGGCAGAAGTCTTTTGTCCTTCGCCTCTAGTCTACGTATGATCTTAGACATAAACTGGTCCTCTCGATAGGCTTCCACCAAAGAGCGAGTAACATCGCCTGTCAGATCGAACTCAGTAATCAGCGCACCTGAGAAGTCAGGTCTACGCGACAAGGCATCAGCAACCTTGTTGTACTCCCCTTTCAGATACTGAGGGTCAAAGTCATACTGCTCAATGACTTCGATCCAACGCTTCAGAGCGTCGGAAAGTACCGGCTGGGTTCTCATCCATCTCAGTGTCTGATGATCAGTCCTGAGGATGAAGAACCTCCCAAGGAGATAGTGCCTCCAATGGGTCAGAGCCTTGTACACCGCATAGCGTTCCTTCTCATAGGTTGGCTTTGCCAACTTCTGCAACGGGATTTTCTTAAACATGTACTCGACTGGCCTTAACTTTGGCCCCTCCTGCTGCGCAAGCACGGCGCCAATGCCATATTGGCTGGCATCCGTGGTGACTATAAACGGCTTATCAGGATCGGGAAGTTTCAAGACCTCGTAGTGCGTCAACGCATGCTTCAGATGTCTGAAAGCAGCCTCGCACTCATCTGTCCATTCCCATGGGGAGTCAAGGCGGGTCAAATCAATCAAAGGAGCGGCCACTATGCTATAGTTCTTAACGAAAGTCCTATAGTAGCATGTCATCCCTAAGAAAGATCTCATCTCAGTCACAGACTGAGGACGTGGCCAATCACGAATGCTGGCCACTTTCGCGTCATCAGGCTTCAACCCTTCCGCGGAGATCTCATGACCCAAGTACAAGACACGGGTGCGACCAAACTCGCACTTCTCACCGTTGATCTTGAACTTGTGTTGTCGCAGGAGACTGAGGACTTTGTCCAAATGTGCAACGTGCTCCTCGACAGTCTTACTAAAAATAAGCATGTCATCGAGGTATACGATGACAAACTTATCCAAGTAGTCATGGAATATCCGATTCATAGCGTGCTGAAAGGTGCCAGGAGCATTTCTGGTCTGAAAGGCATCACCACAAACTCGTACAGACCGTACCTGGTCTGAAAGGCGGTTTTGTGTTGATCCTCGGGCCGGATTGCAATCCGATGGTACCCGGACTTCAGATCTATCTTACTGAAGTACCGACATCCTTGCACTCTATCTAGCAAATCGTCGATGCGCGGTAGGGGCTCTCTGTTCTTAACAGTGATGGCATTGAGGCCCCTATAGTCAATGCACATCCTAAGAGTTCCCTCCTTCTTAGGTACGAATAATACCGGAGACCCATAACGAGAGACACTCGGCCGAATCCAACCCTTCTCTACGAGTTCCTTGAGCTGTCGGCGAAGCTAATCGAGCTCGCCTGGAGACATCCGATAGATCCTACCCTTCGGGATGCTAGACCCTAGGATAATCTCTATCGCGTGGACGACCTCCCTCTCTACAACCCCTGTCGGCTCTTCAAATAGATCAGGGTACTTGGCAACTACTCCCTCTATCTCCGGCGGCATTTTCACCGGCTCGCCTGCAGCAAAGACATAAACTACGTACATACCCTCCTCCTGATTTTGCTTATAATAGTATAGAACGCGGGCGTACACATGCATCCATGGGACTCGATCAGACTACTAGCTTTAAACTTGTGCAATCTGGCGGTCCCTCCACCTGGCAAAGTGTGTTTGACCACTTTTCGATCCCAATCAAACTGGGGTTGTGCCACAATGAGGTAGTACATACCTAGCAATATATCCATGGGGACTTCATCGCTCACTAGGAACGAGCCATGATGTCTCAATTCCCCTCCCGCGTACGGGAAACAACACTCAACATCCTGGAGGTAGTCGTTGACTACCATGTGCTGTTTGTTGGCACAGGTCTACTCCACAGGTCGACTCAGGCGTTGCACTCGCCCCTGAAAGCGCAGCCTCTCAACGCACGCGCGACTAGTGAAGTTCCTAGTCGAGCAAGTGTCATAATAGGCCCCGGCCTTGCGGCCGCCAATGACCACCTCGCTGACGAACATCTCACCCTTCAGGGCTTTGACTAGGGCCATCCAAGAAGCTAGCGGGTCTGATCTAGACCACTCCTCCTCTAGCTCCTCTAAGGACTCAAACACATTCATCGAACAGAGGCTCGATGGGTCTGAACGTGTTTGCGGGACGATGCTGGAGTCAGTAGCTTGGGCCATCTCTCGAGATGGTGAGGGTGTCTCCACCACCTCGACCCTAGCAGGAAAGGAGAGGACAACAATCGGGAGGAAGAGGGGGAGCATGGGGAACAGGAAGGAGAGGGGGAGGACAACAATCGGGAGGAAGAGGAGGAGCTTGGGAGACTCAGCAGGAAAAGAAGCGGGAGGAGGAGCACGGGAAGGGGCCACTTAATGTTCAACATGCATCTGATCGATTTTTTTTGTGTAGGTGAGGGATGACCAACAGGAGGGGAGGGGAGGAGGAGGAGAAGCGGGAGGAAGAGGGGACGTGGGAAACTCCCTGGTGCAATATTCTTTCTAAATCCTAGAGAGTGGAATCCTAAGTACTGGACTACCAACTGTAAACCCAAAACCCTAAACGGGCTTGACTGAACTTTAGGTTCAACAAGTGGACCCGCCGCAGCCACGCTGGGGCAGAGGAGAGGGACGAAGAGGGGGGCGGGGCTGTTGTTGTTACACTGTCGTTTTTTTTTTAATTAATTTTATTTTTTTTGTCGTCATATTCGCTATACACTAAAAAAAAACATGGCTGTGGCAGACTGTTTCCGAGTGATCAGGAGGTTGTGTGTGTGTGTGTGTGGGAGAGAGAGAGAGTGCGTGTCTCTCTCTCTCTCTCTCTCTCTCTCTCTCTCTCTCTCTCTCTCT